AAAGAAATTCTGTAGTTGGAAGCAATTAAATATATCTTGGGTTCCCCCTGCTCCCGCCAAAAGGTCAGTTAAAGTAAATATTCTCAGATCAAATGATCTTTTTCATGTATCGCTGCTAATGGCATCTGATAAATATATGTACATGAGCTTATCAAAAATTGTTGGAATCAACATAAAGTTGCATGTTTGAAATGGAGAAAGTAGCTAGAAGTCATAATATTTCCATGTAAAGTTTTCTGAGGCATTCTCAATCACCAACAAAGAGCCGCTTATATAGATTAAGAATGCATTTGGCCCCATATATTCATTGACAGATGAATGAATAAAAAACACATGGTATAGGCATAGAGTTTCCATTCAGAAATATGAAAAAGTTATGGAAATAGATGGTGCTAATGAGTATACAACAGTGTGAATGTACTTAATGCCACTGAATTGTATACTTTAAAAATGGTTAAATAGTAATTTCATATTATTTATGATAGGAATTCATCTTGATTTAGAAATAGAACTAATTGCAGTGACTAAAGAGGCAAGTTTTTAAAATTTAAACTTAAATTTAAAAAATCTCGTGTAAAAAGATGCATGGGAAGAGACTGGCTTTAGGCAGGCTACCCAGCAGGCTACCCTGAAAACCCTCTGGTTTTCAGGTCTGTCCTTTCTCTCCTGCCTTCCTCAAAGTACGTGGTTTGTTATTATTATTATTATTATTTTAAAATTTATCTCACTCAGTGGCCATGGCGGGGCCTTGATGCTCATGCATGTCACTCCTCAGTCACGCTGCTGTGCCTCATGCTTAGCTATGCAAGTGTGGGCATGGAAAGTTGTATTTAGTCAGATATGGCAGAGACATTCAACTTAATGCTCTCTGAAGATCCATCTATCCCCCATATTTCACAGGCCCCTTGTAGTTGCCTAAGAACATGTAGCTTTTTCTAGCCAGTGGACTGAAATGGTGATGATATTTGTCACTTCCAGCCTAAAGTGGTAAAACAGCCCTCTGGAACAGCAGGGTGGCCCTCTTGTTCTTGTGGAGGGGAAGTATGTGATTCAGGTAGTGCATTTACAGGTGATGGAGTCTCTGTCTGCGTAGGTTTGTTCTTTTTGCTTAGGTTTGAGTGAGTGAGTGTGTGAAGCACATCTTTAGGCAATGCAAGTATGACCTATAACATTAATGAAAATTATATTTTAAGCCACTGAAATTTGGGCTTTGTTTTTGCAGCCCAGAATAGCTATTCTGACTGTTACTCCAGGGTGGGCTTTCGCCAGACATGTTTGATGAAGTGAGAGAAACAGGGAGGCTTTCAGGAGTAAGGGAATGGATGTAAGTTGATGAAGCATGGAATTTTAGTTGGATAAGAATAGAGGTGAGGACCTGAGTGGGTTGTGGAATAGTTAAAAGGCAGCAGAATTAATGGATGGCAGTTTTTGGTGAGATGGAGGGAATGTTGGAGTTAGAGGGAGCTAGAGAGATAGAAGTGAGATGATTGCGATTGAGATCACTCAGGAGTTCATATTACTGCTAAAGATGGGAGTGAGTTTATCAGGTAGTGTGCATAACTGGAGGAGAGGATGTCAGAATACCTAGAAGCCAAGATATTGGGAGAATCATCTAGATTAATATTAAATTCAGCAAGAATGATGACAAGTAGTAGTGTTGGGCAGAGTAAAATTGAGCTGGGAGTTAAAATCTCTAAGAAATTAATTTGTCTTTACACATCTGAAACAGTCTCTATTCACCCTCACTCTAGAATGGTAGTTTAACCGATTCCAGGTTGGCAGTGTTTTTTTCTGATTGTTTTTTGCCATAGCATCTTTAAGATATTAGTCTTGCGGCTTATTTTGTTGCTTGGAGATATTTAGTTATCAGTTTAAACTTTTTGAATTTTTTTGTAGGTGATTTTTTTTCACTTTTCTTTTTGGTTAGTTTTAAAATATTTTCTTGTTGTCTTTGGTCCAGGGCTTCAAAATGATACAACTAAGGATGGATTTTAATTTTTATTCCCCTTTTTTGGAACTTTATGTGGATCTTTAGTTTAATAACTTAAATTCTGGAAAATTCTTATTCATTATTCAAATATTAGTGTTTTCTTCTCCTTTCTTTTATCTCTTTCAAAATGCCTAAGGGCATTATCATTTTCTACTCTGGGCCTTTTAACTCCTCATTTTCTTTTTCTTTATCATTCTAGGCTCCCTTTCTTTTTCTTACTGTATTACAGTTTGCTCTGTTTCAGGGATAGGCAAACTATGACCTGTGGGCCTGCTTTTGTATAGCTCATGAGCTAAGAATGATTTTTTAGTTGTTAAGACTTGTTGCAAAAAATTAAGAAGATTTGACAGACAGAAATTACATGTAGCATTCAAAGCCTAAAATGTTTACTATTTGGCCTTTTATAATTTTTTTTTCAACCTCTGTCCAATTATTTTTACTTCTTGAAATGATAGGTTTTTTTTGTTTGTTTTGTTTTTTGCTGTTGCTTATTCTTCCTTATGGTTGTTTATATGTGTGTGTGTGTTGAAGTTGGGGGTTGCAATTTTTTATTTGGAGTCCATCTTCAGTATGGGTTTTGAAAGTTTAGGTATACCCACAAGATAAGACATGTATTATAATTCAGAAGTCTTTGAGCATGGGACATGCTGAATTCTCAGCAACAGGAAACATACTGGGAAAGAGTGAACTGGGGCTGGAATAAGGGTTAGGATTAATCTGAAATGACCTGGCCATAGAGACTGGCATTCCTAAGGTCATGGGAATGTCCAGGATTCCTGCTGAATCCCGGGTTTTTATATGAACCCTTGAGGTTGGTATGTAGAATACACAATCAGGGTATTGACATCAGGACTGGCCAGAATGACAGTAAAGTGAATGCTAGGTAACCAAGCAGAGGTCTGATACTTCTGGGGAGGTATTACAGTATGTAGTAGCACCCTTGTTAAGTGCTGTGTACTCTGGGCTTACCAGAGAGTTGTGACTCAGTAACAGCCTGGCAAATGAATGGATGGGGAAAGAAATGAAGGTCAGGTCCATATTTTGAGGACTGATAAGTACCAGGCAGGTATCTTCTGCCAATCTTTGTCCTAGACTAATCAGACAGGAAGAATATGGAGAGATAACTCTAGTAGTTGTTTTGTAGATCCCTTGGGATTTTCTACATAGACAATTATATCATCTGTGCATAGAGACAGTTTTACTTCTTCCTTTCTGCTCTTTCTGCCTTTTTCCCCCTTTGCTTTATTACAATGGCTGAAATCTTCAGTACATTGTGAAGAGAAGGGATGAAAGCAGACACCATTGCCCTGCTTCTGATCCTAGAGAGAAACAGTGTTTTGTCATAAAGTATTATGTAACTGTAGGGGTTTTTTTTGCAGATGTTCTTTATTTCTAGAAATTGATAACTGTATTTACAGGCCTAATCTGTTTCAAGTATAGTTTTTTTGGGCAGTGGGCAAGACTACATAGATATGATTTTCTCAAGAGATACATAGTGTTTGGTATCTTTCTGTGATATTAGCAGCCACTGATGATTGCCTCTATCAATTACTACATTATGGGTTGCAAATGGTTATATCCCAATTCTATTAATTTCTTTTTTCATTTATTATCTGGGATACTTCTATAGAGAAAATATTCCTTCATAAATTGTTTGGTTACTCTGGTATATAGTTCCTATAAGAAGGAAAGAAACATGCTTGCTTGTTTTCTTTTATCAGCTTTCAGAATAGTAAATTGGTTTCATCCATCCTCCAAAGGTGATCAGTGCTTTTAAAAACATGAGTTATGAATTTAATTTTTGTTTTAATCCATTCATTTGTCATGTTTATTGATAGTAAATAAGTGTGTATTTTTCGTTTTTTAAGAACTTGGTATTTTTTCACTTCTAATTTTCTTGTCAGGTCTTTTATAATCCATATTTTCTGCTAAGATGTAAAAACATACACATACTTGGATAAGTAAGGACAGAAAGAGTATATAATGAAAGACTTATTTCTAATCTTAGTGATTAAAGAGTGGAACTGTTTGCCTTTGAATCATACTTTAGCGCTATAGCAGCATATTCTAAGAAAACTTCGGATTTTGTAGGTAAAACCACGGAAGTCAAACTTTCTTTGAATGGAACCTACAGGAGAATAAGCTTTGGTGTCATGACTCCTTGTTAAAGATGACCAATGTCAGAAAATATAAGTAGTAATTTTAAAAGTTTCTTGGTAAAAAGATCAATCACAACAGGATGCAGGAATTTACAGGGAATTTCTGATATAAAGTATAACATTTCACTGTTCAACATCAAATATGTGCACAAAGGGAATTTAACTTTATGGTGCTTCATGAGCTTAGCACAGTGTACATAGTAAGTGTCAAACATGGTTTCTTTCTGTTAGCTTTATTGTCATCTTTTTCACAATTATAAAAACAATATTGCAAAAATTTACTGAATAGTAAATGCCACAGAGTTATATATTGAATTATGTATTTAGATCTGCCTTTAAGTATAGATATTCATTCACAAATATATATTTAGATCCTGAAAGATGTTTACATTTGCTCTTTACCAAAAACTACAGGGAAGCCATTTCTGGCAAATATCTGGCAATTTCTAAAAAAAATTCATACTTCTATGAACTGATAGTATTTGTGGCAATGAAATGCCACATATTGAAATGCACCTATGTGGTTTAACAATTACATATAATATTTTTAGGAGGATTTTTTTTGTTAGTGCCTAACACCAGTCATAATACATATTAGCTAAATGGAGAACTGTGTATCATATGAATTTGTATTGGTTTGTTTTTGGTTGATAAACTGTGTGTGTAGTTTATTCTGAATCTCTTTTACTAAAATTACCAGATTGCTCATGGAAGTCATTTCATCCCTCGCTGAATTATCTTCCAAGCTAACTACTCTCTTAAATGATGCATAAGCGTGTTCTAAAGCTACTGAAATAAGTAGGGTGTTCTGTGCTGATTTTCTTCAACTGTTGGTTTCTTTGGATTTCTAGGATGTGGAGAACATCTTGTGCGCACCATACTGGCTAGAGAATGTTCACATGCTTTACAAGCTGAAGATGCTCACCAAGCCCTGTTGGAGACTATGCAAAACAAGTTTATCAGTAAGTATAACATTAAGAAGGTTACATTCTTCTAAATATAGATTATTTCACTGCTATAAGCACTGTGTGTCAGGTACTCCGTTTGTATTTCTTCACCTACCTCTAGGGCCTAGCAAAGAGAAAGACCCACGGTTAAAAATTGACTGTGAAAAGAAATTCCACCACAATAGCGAGTACAGAATGAAATCTTCCATATAACTAAGCTAATCCCCAAGCTATAAGACACCGACAAGGCTTACAGTGATATATAGTGGGATAAATATATAACTATATGTTCATAAGAATTGCCCAGTGGCAAAATGTGAGCTGAGAAATGAGGCATGAATAGGCATGTAAGGTCTATTTCTAGTGATTTATCAGAAAAAGGTTGATTATATTCATGTTACTATGTCCTCAAATATATCAGAATCAGACTTAAGTTTTATTGTTATTTTGTTTTAACAATTACCATTGTTGAATGCTGTTTTAAAGGAAAACCAGATTCTTTGGCTTAATAGCATATGTTATTTACGTAATAGTTATTAGTTATTAGATGCATTCTCAGAATGTTAATGAGAAGGAATTATGTTAAGTGAAATAAGCCAGGAACAGAAAGAGTAGAAAAGTAGATGCTCATCAGAAGTTCACTACCTAGAAAGATCTCTATAATTAAAACTATAAAACACTAATGAACAAAATTGAAGAGGACACCAAAAATGGAAAAATACTTCGTGTTTATGGATTGAAAGAATCAATACTGTTAAAATGCCTATACTACCCAAGGCAATCTAAAGATTCAATGTAATCACTATCAAAATACAAATGACGTTCTTCCGAAATAGAAAAACAATCCTAAAATTTATGTGGAACCACAAAAGACCCAGAATAGCTAAAGCTATCCTAAGCAAAAATAACAAAACTGGAGGAATCACATAATATAACTTCAGATTATACTATAGTAACCAAAATGGCATGGGACTGGCATAAAAACAGACACGTAGACCAACAGAGCAGCGTAGAGAATCCAGAAACAAATCCACACACCTACAGTAAACTCATGTTCCATAAAGGTGTCAAGAACATACGCTCTGGAAAAAAATCTCTTCAATAAATGCTGCTGGGGAAACTGGATATCCTTATGCAGAAGAATGAAACTAGAAACTCCTATCTCTCACCATATGCAAAAATCAAATCAAAATGGATTAAATACTTAAATCTAAGATCCCAAACTATGAAACTCCTACAAGAAAACATTGGGGAAAATCTTTAGGACATTGATCTGGGCAAAATTACATGAGTAATATCCTACAAGCATAGGCAACCAAATCAAAAATGGATGGAAGAGATGATAACAAGCTAAAAAGCTTCTCCGTAGCAAAGGAAACATCAGCAAAATGAAGAGACAGCTCATAGAATGGGAGAAAATATTTGCAAACTATCCATCTGACAAGGGATTAGTAACCAGAATGTAAAAGGAGTCCAAAAAACTCTATAGGAAAAAACAGTCCTAAAATTTTATTATTTTTAGAACTCTTGCAAACTAATAATCTGATCAAAAAATGGGCAAAAGATCTGAACAGACATTTCTCAAATGAAGACATAAAAATTGCAAACAGGCATATGAAAAGTGTTCAACATTATTGCTCATCAGAGAAATGGCACATCAAAACTACAATGAAATATTATCTCACTGCAGTTAAAATGGCTTATATCTAAAAGATAGGCAATAACAAACTCTGGTGAAGATGCAGAAAAAAGAGAAACCTGGTACACTGTTGGTGGGAATGTAAATTAGTACAACCACTATGGAGAACAGTTTGGAGGTTCCTCAAAAAACTAAAATTAGAGCTACCATGTGATCCAACAATCCCCCTGCTGTGTATATCCCCAAAAGAAGGGAAAACGTATATTGAAGAGATACTTGCACTCCCATGTTTGTTACAGCACTATTCACAATAGCCAAGATTTGGAAGCAACCTAAGTGTCTAGCAGATGAATAAAGAAAGAAAATGTGTCATATATACACAATGGAGTACTATGCAGCCATAAAAAAGAATGAGATCTTGTCTTTGACAACAACATGGATGGAACTGGGAGAAATCATTATGTTAAGTGAAATAAGCCAGGCACAGAAAGATAAACATCACATGTTCTCATGTATTTGTGGGATCTAAAAGTCAAAACAATTGAACTCATGAACATAGAAAGTAGGTTGGTTACTAGAGGCTGAGAAAGGTACTGGAGGACTTGGCAGGAGGTGGGGATGCTTAACAGTTACGAAAAAATAGAAAGAATGAATAAAACCTACTATTTGATAGCACAACAGGGTGACTATGGCCAATAATAACTTAATTATACATTTTAAAATAACTAAAAGAGTGTAATTGGATCATTTGTAACACAAAGGACAAAAGCTTGAGCGGATGGATACCCTATAGTAGACAGTGTGATTATTTCACATTGCATTCCTGTATCAAAACATCTCATGTACCCCATATAGATATACACCTGCTGTGTACCCACAAAAAAATAAAAAATAAAAACATTCATTTCCTAGAAACCCTATGATGGATGTGTAATTATGGCACATGGTAACTTTATGGTTGTGAAGAATGATCCAAAGTACTTTACTAAGTCTAAAGCTACAGATTAGCTAGTTCTACTTCTCCCAGTTTGGGTTTATGCTAAGGGGTTCCTGCACTCTACTCTTTTCTGTTGTTTTGTATAACTCTATAAAACTGTTCATGAGTTGGACTGTAGTATTTCATCTTGCCACTGGGATGATGCCATTACCTAATAAATAGTGAGCCCCATCTTAGAAATTCCAGACTTGTGGAAAAGAGCAAGAAATGTCAGAGCTCACCTAATTGACCCTGTTCCTTTAATAGCTGAAACTTAGTTTGCAAGAGTTCAATGACTTCCTGTAGTCATCTCGTTAGCTAGTGGGTATTTGTTGTGCAAGAACACACTGCCTTCTATTTAAAAATTATAAAAGGTAAAATGGTAAGAAATACAGAAGAACAATGTTCTGGGAGTCAAGACAGTTTTCCCCCTCCGAACTTTGTGTCTGTCTCATTGGATATAACAGGTTGCTTCAGCAGTTTTATTAGGAATGAAAGCAGGAATGTTAGATAAGAAGCAGTTTCTAAATGCCTTCGCTATGCTAAGTTCTATGTTGTCTCTACTGGATTCAGACCATAAATGTGAAATTCTTTTCAATCAGATAATTTGGAAATGGGATTGAAAAAGGAAAAATTTCGGGAACTACTTAGGAAGCACAGATGATATTTACAAGGTAAATGGAAGGAAGTAAATTGGATTTATCAGAGGACTAGACTAGAGGCAAGGAGGTTGTTTTTTCCTCTTTTAACACACAGATGGTGTAATTAATTGTCTGTTTTAGGACAGATCTCTTTACTCTTAATTTTCTCATATGTAAAAGAAGGGGACAGATCTGGATGGTTCCTAAAATTCCTTCCAGCTCCAAAATTCTGTTTGGTCCTTGGTTTAGTTCACAAGCCAAACTAAATTACTTGTATGAAGAATTGTTGTAGGCTGGGTGCTGTGGCCTATAATCCTGGCACTTTGGGAGGCCGAGGCGGGTGAATCACCTGAGGTCCGGAGTTCAAGACCAGCCTGGCCAACATGGTGAAATCTTGTCTCTACTAAAAATACAAAAATTAGTCAGGCATGGTGACTGGCGTCTGTAATCCCAGCTATTTGGGAGGCTGAGGCAGTAGAATCACTTTAATCTAGAAGGCGGAAGTTGCAGTGAGTCAAGATCGTGCAACTGCACTCCAGCCTGGGCAACAGAGCAAAAACTCCGTCTCAAAAAAAAAAAAGAATAGTTGTAAATCAGATTAGTTGTTAAATGAAATTATAGATTAAAACTGTTAATGGTGGATCTCAAGTTTCTATTTGAAATGATTTGGTTAAAACCCTTTCAGCCAATGATGGAAATAACCTAGCAACCACTTTCTTTGTTTTGTGGAAACCATGCTATTCTTCCCATTTTGCTTCCTTTGTTTTTTCTTTTTTAAAAAAAGATTTGTATAAATAATATATCTAGGGATTCTCATTACAATGCATATGTAGATAAATTTAAGTAATAAGTCCAGTAACTCTTTTTCATTCATTCTGAGAGTCATTTCTCCTGTCAGAAAGAACCACTGCTCACAGTTTGGTGTGTATATTTGTGGCTTTCCCTTACTCCTTTCCTGCCTTCTTCCTTTTCTTTTCTTTCTTCCATCATTTTAAACAATCATATAGAAGAGTATACTGTATTTTTGCAGTATACTTTCCACTTACCATAACTTAATGCTCTTAATATATCAGTATACATAGTTTTATAGCCAAATATTTCATGGTTCCATAATTTATTGATTCCTCTACTGAAAGAGATTTATCTGTAAATTTTGTATCATTTTACTGCATATGAATGCTTACTTCTTTATATTCTTTGAACTAAACATTTTATATGATTCCATTTTCTCTCTTTTTTTTTAGCGTATCAGTTATATATATTTTTAGTGATTGCTCTAGAGTTTGGAATATATATTTACAATTAATCTAAGTTCACTGTTTTTGGTAAAAATTTAATGGGTACAAGTGCAGTTTTGCTAAATGGATGTATTGTGTAGTGGTGAAGTCTCAGCTTTCAGTGTACCCTTCACCTGGATAATGTACATTGTACCCATTATGTAAGTTCTCATCCCTTATTTCCCCCAACTCTCCCACCCTCTTGAGTCTCCACTCTGTATTATTCCACACTCTATATCCATGTGTGCACATTATTTAGCTCCCACTTACAGGTGAGAATATTTAGTGTTTGATTTCCTGTTCGTGAGTTGTTTCCTTTAAGATAATGGCCTCCAGCTCCATCCATGTTGCTCCAGAAGACATGATTTCATTCTTTTTTGTGGCTGAATAGTATTCCAGTGTGTGTGTGTTTATATGTGCGTGCGCGTGTGTATATCACATTTTCTGTATCTAGTCATCTGTTGATGTACACTTCAGTTGAT